GAGATTCTGCCTGCTGCATGCTGTTGAATAATATAATTAACGCATTATTTGTGCTGTAAGTGAACTCCGAAAATATTAGTAATTGAAAAAAAACCCAACATCATCAATTCATATAAATGATAAGAGAAGCGCTAATGGAAGTGAAATAGATCCACCCGGAAATAAAGTGAAACATATATATATATATATATATCAAGTGAGAGAGAAGGAGAGGGAGAGACAAGAGACCTAAGCCACCACCCAGAGCTTGATGAACTGATATGTGAGAAGAAGGGACGGAATCTCCCATGGGCGATCGCTGTTATCGTTGAAATCCTGCCCCGCCCCCAAAATGCAACAGCTACAGCAGAAAAAGAATCCATGCAGAGCTGAAGACGTCGAGAAATCAGAGGTTTTTCTTTATCTATTTTAACTAAAGACGTCGAGTAATCCCTATGAATTATGCATGCAAAATTTTAGTCTGAAGACGCCGAGATATCTTGAGATCTTTTGCTGTAGAAAATACCCTAGATGAAGAAAAATTTTTGGAACCACATTATTGTGGGAATTTTTTTTTCTCAGGTTACATTATTCTGACATTTTTGCCCACAGATGACCCGAGGAATCAGGTCAGTATAATCATTTTTCGTAAACTAGGCATTAGTTTCATTAATTCAGGATGTTGTAGCCGTTGTGAACGCCTTTATAAAAAGTAGATTGAAAAAGAAAAAGGCGACAAAAAGATAACGGACATTAGCACGTCATGACCGTTTGGTGGTAATTTATAATTTTTTATTCAGTGTTGACGTTATAGTTGTAGATCATAATATCAACTTTGTAAATCAGCCGTTACGGAATAACATTTTTTAATATAAAAATACAATATTGTAGTATACTACTTAATGGTATAATTGTTTATAAAAAATGTTTTGATTTTCTAAAGGATAAATTACTCATTGAGTATTTAAACTATCAGTTTGAGTTTATTTAGTATTTAAATTTTCATTTTTTAAATCATACTTAACATTTAGTTTTTGTTTTATTTTAGTATTATGCTGTTAAAAACTTAACGGACAGGCTAACGTGGCATAACTTCGATGGATGGACGACCAATCTGAACAGTGGACCATGAGAGAATGACGAATCGACCGACATAGTTCCGTTTTAGGCTCATTAGACAATGGACCATGAAGATCAAAGGATGAGATTGAGACGTTTCACAATGAAACAGAAGCCATAATTATGTTTAGGGGTCGAAAAGGTGCGAACTGGAAATTTTTGGCTTCATCGGTCAACGGATAAGTCGGTCGACGACTGTAGATACGGCGGCAGGTGAGCCTGTCCGACAAGGTACTAAAATAAAACAAAAACTAAATGTTAGACATAGTCTTAGAAAAAGTGAAAGTTTAAATACTACACACGAGTTTACCCTTTTCTAAAAGTGCAAGCCTGTTGTATAGTTGCTTTGATTTTAACAATTTGCTGTGGCACTGCCATATGTATTATTCTCATTATGCTCTACAATTTACTAATGCTATTGCTTTCTGGAAAGTATTATAGCATCGTATTCGTGGTGTGGTGTATCGTATCTAGGGATGGATATTTTACCTATAGACGAGTTTCGATTCAATTGGATCCAATTTGATTAGATTGATTTTTAATTTTGAAAATTTATATTTAATTTAGGTTGGATCGAGTTTTTCTTTTAAAGATGAGATCAAGTAAGGTCGGGTTTAGATTTAAGATAAAAATATTTGATCCAATCTGATATAATATTATAATTATCTTTTATATATTTAGAGATAATTACAACAAACTCTTTTCTATTTTCTTAAATTAGATCCTTAATTTTATGTAATAAAGATGAATATATTTATATAAGTTGAATATGAGTTTTGACTTAAAAAATAGACCGAATACCCTTCTAAATCTTAAATCATGTCAAATATATTATATCGATAAATAAGTTTAATTTTCGAATCAAATCAAATATCCTTAACATTCGATCGACATCCCTAATCGTATTCTCCTAAATCCAGCAATAAAATAGGTAGTCCCCACCCAAAAATTCCCAGCCTGCCTGCCTGTGCCAGCAAACGCCTTTATTTTGACGAAGCCAAAGTGAATCTGATCCCTCACCTCTCTCTCTCTCTCACACACACACACACATATATACACGCGCATTCATTAAGCATTTGCTTTTATACATTTCGAAGCATCTGAGAGCAGAGGGCGATATCAATCAGAGAAGTCCGTTGGTTGGAAATTATTGGAGAAATGATGAAGTGGACATCAATGAAGAAAAAGGAGAGGTTTTGGGGCAGCTGGAAGCTCTCATCGGCATTCAAGTGGAAGAAACCTATTGATCTGCAGGCGAAGATAGTGGACAATTTGGTATTCAGAGTTGTTTACGTTGTGGAAGCCATCGTTCTCGTCTCCACTCTCTGCTTCTTCTATCTCTGCTGTGGCTGCCACTTTTGATTTTTCTTCCTCCATTGCTCCCTTTCTTCTTAAATTAACCTAGATGGTTGCAAGGTAACCATATGATTCTATTTGTATTCTTTGTGTGTTTTTTTCGTTGTTAGTTTTGGTCTTCATTTTTTTTGTAAGGAGTCGTTTTCTGATTATATATAACTTTGAATGAATAAGATTATTTGATTTGTTTGAATTCTTTTTAGTATTGTTGAGGAAAGATTCATGATTTGAGATTACCCAGATTTGTCCTGCTATCAAGGTTTTCTAATTTATTTTTTTAATTTCTTTATAATTATATACATTAATTAAAACCCATATTCGTATTTATGATCTGTGCATTATCTACAAAAATTGTACTAGGTAGGGTTATAAAAAGTTGGCCCTACTTGCAAAACTAATTAAAACCGACTTGAGTTAAAACTGTTTGTGATCCGGGTGGATATGATTTGAAACCGATTCGAGTTTGAACTATCATTGACCTGAACCCGAGTTGGACATGGAAATTGTGGATCTGAACCGAGTTGAACCCGAAAATTATGGATCTGAACCAAACTTACACTCGATCTGAGAACGACCTGAACCCGAATTAAATCGATAATATGATAATCAAACATGACCTGCATATGACTAATACGAACTCGAACCATAGATTAACTTGGTAAATAATTGGTATTACCCTACCTGTTATCAACTGACATTCTATGAATCTGACCTGTAATTGACTCAACTTATAAATTATCTGACTTGTTATTTATTTATTTTTTGGTAAGAAAATGAAAACTACCTAATTACTTAAACCTAATTGCATTCTTCAATCACGAGTTGGCTTATATCAGCAGGATGCTCCTGTAAGATTCTGGTTTGGCTATCTTCGAAATTGACGCTTCTTGCTAGTTTATCAGCAATTTTATTCCCTTCTCTTCGGACATGTTGCAATCTGACGTTCCAATCCCGGTTTATCAGTTCCCTTATGTACGGTATTATGGTAATATTTCCTTCTTTGTTTGTGCTATTCTTCAGTGTCTGTATTGCTTCGAGGCTATCTACTTCAACTATGAGTTGTTGGATTCCTTGTTCCCATGCACATCTTAGCCCTGTATATACTCCCCATAATTCTGCTTCCATTGTAGAACATATTCCTATGAATTTTTTGAAGTCGATCCTCAATTTTCCATTCAAATCTCTGATTACTCCTCCACATGCTGCTTTTCCATCTGTATTTCTACGGGCTGCATCTGTATTAAGTTTTTCCCATCCCTCTGATGGAGGTAGCCAAACTGTTGGACCAACCAATTCAATTGGCTGTGATTTGTTTGCCTGGTTTCTTTCTCTATTTGCATTGTTTATTGAGTTTGTCATCCTGCGGCTTCGTTCTAATATTCCTATGTTATCTTCCATAGGATTGTTGAAGACAATCGAATTCCTCATGATCCATATGTTCCATAATACCGATCCGAATAGGATTTCCCAATCTTTACTTTCTTTAGCAAACATGTTTGGTCTTGTTAAATTCACTTCAACCCAATTCTTTATGTCCATTGTTAGAAAGTTCTGTAATCTCTCGTTTTTCACCAGTGTTGTCCAAATAGGGGTCACGGTAATGCAGTGTCAAAAAATATGGTTAATATCCTCTGTTTGTGTCACACAGATTGGGCAATTACCATCAATTGTAAGATGTCGTCGAAGTCTTTCTGCATTTGTCAGAATTTTACCTTTGCAAACTAGCCATAGGAATGTTTTCTATCTGACTTGTTATTGAACTAATATGATATTTACCTGACTTATTAGTAATAAGTTACAATTGATGCAATTATGAGATTTTATATTTATGATAAACTTGTGATAATTAAATTAATATGATTAATTTTTTAAATTTAAAATAAATTGTTAGCGATGATAACTAAATTAATAAATTTAATTTCTATATTAATTATAATCCTTATATTATAAATTTTATTTATAATCTTTAAATTAATTTTAGGGTAAAGTATATTAATAGTCACTAACCTTTCTAAAGCTTTCATTTAGGTCCCCAACTTTTAACACTTACAATATAGTCTCTCAACATTTAGTTCATTTGCAATATGGTCCCCCAATAGTTACATCGAAGACCATATTGCAAACGGACTAAATGTTGAGGGACCATATTGTAAACAGACTAAATGTTGGGGGATTATATTATAAGTTTTAAAAGTTGAGGGACCTAAATAAAAGATTTAGAAAAATTCAATGACCATTACTATACTTTACCCTTTATTATTCGAAGATTTGCTTTCGTTGAATTTTCCAGAAACAAGAAATCTGGAAATTTGGGTATTAAGAATGGTTAAGAAATTCTGACCATATCTTTCGCTTGTAAATTTGCGCCACAAACCAAAGGTATTGAATCAGATAATGAAGCAAAACGAGAATCTCTCAACCTCCATATCCTAATTCATATTTTGATTATACATTGCAAATATCAAATATGAATTCTTCGATTTATCAGCAAAAGCAAATCATTATGAGACAACCAGAGAGAAAAAGGAAAAGACAACATCCCTAACATGAATTCGATCCAGAACCGGAATCGGAATCCGATTTACGAGCGTCGACGTGTTTCTTGTCCTTCGCTTCAGCTTGTTTGACGGCTTTACTCAACTCGGCAAACGGGTCAATGGCAAATACTTGAACACAGGGTAACGTTTCCCGCTCATGTCCTTAACCAAGCAGTTTTACTTCTAGGACAAATTCTTCGCCGTGGAAATGATCATCTCCGCAACCGAGTGGAAAGCTGAACTGTGGTTCATTTGTACCCACAACTTGGTCGAAATCACCAGGACGAACTGCTTGTACTCACTCGCGGCGTAGTTCAAAGAGCCGTAGCGCCGCTAGGTCGAGCCTCGTCGACTAATTTCTGAGCCTTTTGTGCAGCCCTGTGAACCAAATATCGCGCTTGGTTCACCATTTCCTTGCCTGCTGGTGGCACATGCTCGTCAAATTTGTGAGTAGCCTCGTCTACCTGCGCAGTTAATTTAAGAACAAACTGGTTCGCATAATTAATTGAAAAAAATATGATCCAAACAGAAAATTTTACAATTGACCGACAGTTCGCAAAATTACACACTATAATCCATTAAACATAAATATACATTACCTTCCTATCAAGAAACACAAGATGACCCGGAGCGTCCTTAAACTTCTCATAGACGGGGCCAATTATGGTTGTGACGGCACCCTCGACGATGCCGATGGTGGACCGTAACAGACCGGAATTCTGTTTAAGAAACTCGTAAAGATTCGACACACAGACCAGCAAACGGATCGCAGTCACCCTCATCCAACCTACGTGCTTCAGGTGTTGTTTCCGGTTCTCAAACTCTACCTCCTAAAACATAATAATATTAAGGGTAAAGTATACTAATGGTCACTAAGCTTTTTTAAAGATCTCATTTAGGTCTCTCAACTTTTGCAACTTGCAATATAATCCCCCAACTTTAGTCCGTTTGCAATATGATCCTTCAACATTTAGTCCATTTATAATATTGTCCCGACGTAACTTTTGGGGGACCATATTGCAAACGGACTAAATGTTGGGGAGACTGTATTGCAAATTTTAAAAGTTGGAGGACCTAAATGAAAGCTTTAGAAAAGTTCAATGACCATTACTATACTTTACCCTTAATTTTATTATATAATTTAGTTATTGAACATGATTTTATTAGATTATATAAAATTAATTAAAATATTTATAAGTTTATTTTATTTTTATGTAAAAATTGATTAATATTATAAATATAATTTAATTTAAAATTTTAATATATATATATAAATGAATTTATTTGAGATTGAAAATTTGAATAACATAATAAATACTAAAACTAATAATTTATAAATGAATAAATAAAATTTATTACACTTTAATACACTAAAATCACAATAAAATCAACTAAACAAATTTATGTTAAAATTTATGCTCTTGTCATCACCCATTTTATCCGGATGATGACATCAAAGGGTTATGAGTTCGAATAACGACGTCTGCAAGGTGTATGTTTTGTCAATAGGTTAAGAAAAATCTAAACAAATACTACCCTTGTAATCACCTTAGAATAGGGGTGTTCAAATAACCGAACTAATTCGGTTAACCTTCCGAACCGAATTAGTTCGGTTAATTCGATTCGGTTACCGAATTAATTCGGTCGGTTAATGGTTAAGAAAATTTTTAGAATTCAGTTAACGGATAATTCGGTTCGAATTCGGTTAATTAACCGAAATTAAATTTTAAATATTATATATATTATATATAACATATGGCTTAAGTCCAAACCATTTAAAACTCAATTAATAATTTAAGATCCAATAACTTTTAAACCTAAATCAATATTAATTAATTAAAATTTCATATAAAATTTTTATTTTATAATTATATATTATTTAAATTAATTGTAAACTGTTTTTTAATTAAAAAATATTATATATATTATATATAACATATGGACTAAGCCCAAACCATTTAAAACCCAATATATAATTTAAGATCCAATAACTTTTAAACCTAAATCAATATTAATTAATTAAAAAATTTATCTGAAATTTTTATTTTATAATTATATATTATTTAAATTAATTATAATTTTTTTGAATTAAAAAATATTTAATTTTTGTATAAATTATAAAATTTAAAAAAATTCGGTTAATTCGAAAATTAAATGAATTAACCGAAATTTATTCGGTTCGGTTAATATTTTTGAAAAACAATTCGGTTCGGTTAACAGTTAAAGAAAAAAAAGTTCGTTTAATTCGATTATGGTTAATTCGGTTCGGTTCGATTCGATTCAGTTTTAACCGAATGAACAGCCCTATCTTAGAATATTAAAAAAATATACGTGGTTGAAATGAAAATGAAATTTAATTTTAGTGACTAAAATAATGTTCTTTTGCAATTTGTTAGTTAAAATGGAAAGTTTTAAAAGCTTAGTGATTATGATCAATAAAAGTAGTTTACCATTAAAAAAAAAAGACAATAGGCTTTCGTACATTCCCGCGCCAAATGCCCCAAAATTAACAAATTTAAGCGATTTAAACATAAACAAAAAATATAAGAAAAAATATTTTACGCCTTAATTCATTTTACCTCTAATTTTCCAAATATTTGGCGCCTTAATAGATATGCAAATCCCTAGTATTATCAACATTTTTATATCAATCAAAAGCAAAATCAATTACATTCACTTCTCTGCCACCATTTCAAAAATATAAGGACAGACGACATGAATACTGATGAGGATTTAGAGCAATTTTGACGTTAAACTTTATCCAAGTTTTTATAATATTTTTTTATATAAAAATATTGGTTAAAACGTTAAATCTTTATTCACTAACTTTTATGATGAATGTGGTTTAGTTCAATTTAATATTAATTCCAACTTTACATTTTATAATTATTTCAATTTGATTCTTGTGGGTTGAACTAATTTAATTTGATTAAATTAAAACTATCAATTCATTAATGTATAATGTATGTATGTATATATATATATATATATATATATATATATATATGTATGTATATATATATATATATATGTATTTATAATTAATTAATGTATAATGTATGTATGATATATTATGAATTGATATCTATGTATAATGTATAATGATATGTACGTAAAGTGTATTTATGATAATGATATGCATGTATGTATATATGTATGATATTGATAATTGATGCATGTATGTATATATGTACGATATTGATAATTGATGCATGTATGTACATATGATAAACATGCATACATGTCTACGTGTATACATGCATGCATCATACATACATGTAAATATTATGTGTACATGTTCTATATGTATACATACATACTTTATATATACACACTTATACTTTATATTATATATATACACTTTATATTATTATATATATACTTTATACTTTATACTTATACTATATAAGTATATATATACTTATAAGGTATGCATAAGTATAATGTACATTATATATACATGCATCATATTATCATAACATTCATCATACATATTATATATATTATAATTAAGTATAATGTACAATATATATATATATATATATTATAATTGTTTCATTTTTTTCATCAACTTTTGAAATGAATGTTTTTATTCTAATTTCATGTTTGTTCAACTTAGTATTTTAAATTATATTTTTATCAGAATTAACCTATAATCATTTATATTTTTTTTGTAATTTATTCTAAATCATATGCAATTACAAATTACAATTCGACGTACTCACGTTCATGAAACATTGAAAGACGAAAAATAATTAACCCAAAAATAACCCTACTAGAAGTCAATTCATATATGGTAAGATCCGACCTGAATTTTTTCTGCTAATGATGTGACTCGATCTGAACGATATCTGACTGAAGTTCATCCGAACCTGAATTAACATGGTATTTAACTGTTTTGACATGAACTGACATCAATCTGAACTGAAATTAACCCAACCTAAACCCGAACTGAATCTGATGTCAAATTAACATGAAATTAACCCAAATTGATTTGACATGAATCCGACCTGATTCGAATTGAACTATTAAATTTACCTGACTCAACATGTATTTGATTTGACCTAACCTGACCTGACAGAATCCGATTGAAACCTGAACGATTACATGATTTTAGAACCCACATACAAGTCGATATTGTGCTTGAACATAATATTATAAAAATATACATTACCCAAAAAAGAAATAGTAAGAAAAAATGTTGAAAGGTCCAGCAGGCCGGCTTTAGGGTGGCAAATATCTTTGTCCAAGTTAAAGCCGGCATACTCCAGGCCACCTGGAAGAGGCACAAGTTTATTGGCCTATGATCTTGGTACAGTCAGTAAGTAAGATTAGTGATGCATCGTTTCTTTTGAATTGAAGGTTTTGAAGTGTTGTCTTCGGAAAATTGTAAAATTATAGCATTGAAATAAGTTAATTATGTTATGAAAAATTAAGGATTGTTTTGATTATTTTAATTTCAGTTTGGATATATTTTTATTATTATTGTGTTATTATAATTTTTTAGATGTTTTACTTTTAAATTTTATTTAAACTTCTTAAATAAAAAGTTAAATAATTGAATCATATTTCTTAATAATTTTTTTGATAATTGAAATGATTAGATCTCGAAAATTATAATTTTTAATTTTATAAATATAATCATAAATAAATAATATAATGAATTAAAAAATTATAATTTTTAAAAAATATTTCTATAATTTTAAAACTGAATTGTGAAGTTCCATATACTTTTAAATGTTTTTTAATTTTTCTAAAATTATTACTTAAAAATATTAAAAAAGTAAAATAAATTTTTATTTGATTTGAAGGGCCAAATGAGGTATTATTCACTAATTTAACATATCACGTCACTCCTTAATGGAAGATTAATGCTCATTATATACTTTTTGAAAATTTAATATAAAAAATATTTTAATATAAATTAGTGATCATTTTATGAGTTTTATTCTATAAAATTAATGATGTATATCAGTATATAACATTCATTAATTATAAAATTTTTCAATGATAAAAGGATTTGTATTACTTTTAAACATGATTAAGTAAAGTTTTAAATTTAATTATGTATCACTCTTATTTCTTATGAAAATAATTGTCTGTCCAGCTCAGTTGGTAGAGCATAAGACTCTTATCCTTGGGGTCGTAGGATCGAGTCCCACGGTGCGCAATTCATAATTGCCGAAGGTCTTCCACTGAAGTTGCTCTAAACCTAGAGTTAGGGCAGCTTACTACCCTACCCCATTACCCCATTACATATGAGAATAGTGTTAGCTAATTTTTTTTCTTATTTCTTGTGAAAAAGTTTTATTCAAACTCAATCGATTTTAAAAATACTCTTTTTTATTTTAACTCATATTTCTAGTTTTTCCCCTTTCAAATTCAACTACAAAACTAGAGGAACGGAAAGTATAAACATAAACTTCGATCAAAACTGTATATAATAAATCTTGAAATTTCTAGATGGGATCAAATATTAAAATTTAGGGTAAATTTTGTATTTAGTAATCCAATTATTTTTATTGTTTCGTTTCGATCATTCAATTATTTGTTTTTCAAGAACATATCTAAAGTTAGGTTTTAGTTCCGTTTTGTTCACATAACTAATGTATCACCATAAGGTGATGTCATACCATCATTAAAAAATAAAAAAATTATCATGTTAGCAATTCTATTTTTTAATGACAGATTATCAAAACGTAACTTTAAATATGATTTTAGAACAAATAGTTAGATGACCAAAACTGAACCATAAAAATAATTAAATGACTAAATATATAGTTTGCCCTAGAAATTCGTAAACTTA